ACACCTAACTTCATAAAAACCATGAATATTTTATATTTTGTTCATAAACCTCGAAGTGTAGTATTAAAGCGCTCAAGCTTATCACTGAGCCAATGAGTGGCAAACATATATAGTAACACTTCCTAAACAATGGTATAAATTTCTTGAAATCCTAAAATCTGCCAAGAGAAAGAAATATAAAAGACAGTAGTTTAATAGAAGTAAAAATGGAAGACCGAAAGATTGGCGAGAAACCGAATAAACCGAGCGAGAGAGAGAGACGAAGGAAGAAAAGAATGCTACCAGTCAGAAACAAAACCTGCTTTTGAACTATGTGTTGTTTATGATAGTAATAGAAACCCAATTTTTGATGTTATAAGTCCTCAGACTTACCGCCGAGCCAGCGGAGGGCTTTGAAAATGGCATTGATTGTATTTATCTTTTTCATTGTTGCTGAAACGAAAAAAAAAATCACATAGTTACTGAAAAATGCTCAAACAACAGAGATTTGTATCCAACGGCACATAAATCCTATAGATCACTATGAAGTTGCGATTTATTTACATTGCTAGAAAATAAAATGTTTTTGTGAGAAACCAAAAACTTTCAGGTCAGTGTGACGACACAGTAGAGCACGTAATGGATCGATTTCAGTTATTTCAGACCACAGAACTGGAGAATAAGCTTAGATAAAAGTCATCTAAGTGTACTTTTTTCATAAATATTTAAATAAAGAGTAAATAGAACTGGGAGCAATTCGAAAGCAGTATCTGTTATTCTCAGCTTGAACGGCAACTTATGCGACACAGGGGCGGCTAGATCAAAGACCTAATTCAAAACTGTAGTATCAGTCAGTCCCTGATATGAATAAGTACAACATTAATAAAGTTGAAGAGCAAGGGAAGTGCACAACTGTAACAAAATGGTGTCATAAGTAAGCAATCTACAACAATGGTAAGCGTTAAAAGTAATTTCGAACACGCAAACTCTTCAGTTTTTTTAAAATACAAAAGAATATTTACATATTGTAAGAGCATGTGCATAAACTGTCTTCGGAGAGTTTATAAAGATTTACTCGAGGTAGTCGAAGCATTGTTCTCCTTGTGGTTTTTCCTGGTAGGTTATAAAATAATAAATCTACCATTCATAGAAATATATTATTGAATCCGACATGCTCACTCGATACATCAAGTAACAAAAAGTGTTGCTTTAATTTTGAAACTTTAAAAAATATAATATTATTTTTTGGAAAATTACCTATGTAGGCATGAAACGATTAATTATTTTTGTTTGAAAGAATACTTGTATATAAATAAAGTGTGATGAATATTAGACTTGTATAGTTGATGACTCTGAGTTTCATTTTGTTTGTTTGTTTTTGAATTTCGCGCAAAGCTACACGAGGGCTATCTGCGCTAGCCGTCACTAATTTAACAGTGTAAGACTAGAGGGAAGGCAGCTAGTCATCACCACCCACCGCCAACTCTTGGGCTACTCTTTCACCAACGAATAGTGGGATTGACCGTCACATTATAACGCCACCATGGCTGAAAGGGCGAGCATGTTTGGTGTGACAGGGATTCGAACCCGCGACCCTCAGATTGCGAGTCGAGTGCATTAACCACATGGCCATGCCGGGCGAGTTTCATTTTAACAGACCAACTGTACATGATCCATATCTTGTGTTGGTTCTGGAGTGTTGTATATAGTACAGTTCCACCAACATGATCCGATGTTCCAAACTTAACACAACATTATTTCTCCCACTGCCAGCTACAGAACAACAGTTGTTTGCTTCATGCTGTGCTTATATAGTAGTTTAATTTACATGTATGATTCGGGAAGTTAAAACCAGTATGATGCATTAACGATGATACTTTATGCATCTACTGAAACTATTTCGTCTATGTGTCACGCTTCTCACCCCACAACATGTTAAAATATCAATACTGATTCTGAACTTATAACCACCTTGTATTAATATATTAAAGAAGATTATTGATAACTAATTGAGAAATTTAGTTTCTATTTTTAAGTAGACACAAAGGTTTGTTTGTTGTGAATTTCGCACAAAGCTACACGAGGGCTATCTGCGCCAGCCGTCCCTAATTTAGCAGTGTAAGACTAGAGGGAAGACAGCTAGTCATCACCACCCACCGCTAACTCTTGAGCTACTCTTTTACCAACGAATAGTGGGATTGAGCGTCACTTTATAATGCCCCCCACGGCTGAAAGGGCGAGCATGTTTGGTGGAACAGGGATTCGAACCCGCGACCCTCAGATTGCGAATCGAGCGCCCAAACCACTTGGCCATGCCGGGCCAGACACAAAGGACTGGTATTCTCTAGTAATTAGATAAAACCTGGATTTAAAAGCAGTCATACTATTGTCTTCAAAGTTCTGTAACAAATATATCAGACCGGTGTTCAAGTAATAATAACAACACACGAAAATAAGGTATTCAAGTTTACTAAGATAACTCAAAATTCAAACATCTTGTTACACTAAAAGATTAGTTATTTAAAACTTGAGAGAATATTTTAACAAAGTCGGATGTTGAAGGAAAAGTCATCAAGGGCATCAACACCGGAACTACGCTTTTATTGAACTCCTGTTTCCCCTTACTAAGTAACACGATTACTTAAGATCGTTTATATCAGTGATTCAGAACTCTATTTGTTCTGGCCC